CTTTTTGAGACAGGGTCTCCCTGTAGCCCCAGCTGTCCTGGAACTCACTGTGTAGACCAGGCTGGCCTTGAACTCACAGAGATCCGCCTGCCTCTGCCTCCTGAGTGCTGGGATTAAAGGCGTGCGCCACCACTCCTGGCCCCTTTTTAAATTTTTAAAAAATCAATTCAGAACTCTTCTCTGGATAGAAGAGTGAGCAATTTTGTGCCTCTTTTTTGTATATAAATGTGCAATTGTACTGGATTTTCTCTTGTACAGAAAACAAACACTACAATTCCTTTACTTAAGCTCCTAAACTGCCATTTGCCTGGTTGTAGCAATCCCGAGGTGGCTTATTGGCATCTGGTGATTAGATATGATCCCAAAGGACAGAGGACAACAGGAAGCACCGTACCACCCAAGTCTAAGTGCTCCAGGCAGTGTGAGGGACCACTCACCAGAACACTAAACTTTGCTCTTGAGCAATTAGAGGTTTGATGTCCTTTAAAAAACAATGTAAGAATATCTAGGTTTTATCATGCTAAAATCTTATTTTATATAGATATATGATGAACATGTTTTTTTAAACTTAACACAAGGATTTTCTTTGATATTTCAAGTGTACCTCTTGTTGAAACAATATCCAATATGAAATTGGACATCTTTGTTTCTGACGTAGTGCTATTTAATAATCTAGTGATTTTTATATAGTAAGCCAGGGTGCATCATGTACACTGAATACCATAGGTTGGAATATTTTTACTCAGCTTCAGTGTGGGATATTTTGTTTTTATATCTATAAAAGATATAAAAGTCTCTGGAGACTTTTTAAATCTTTTTTTTAAATGACTAATAGAATTGTTCTATCATTTCAGAAATCAAAAGTATAGTACAAAATAGTTAAGCATAGCCCTAAAGTTTTCAGTGGTCTAAAAAGTGAGTTTTATTATGCCAGTGCCAAGGACCTCTTCCCCACCTCTGTGGTTTTCATGCATCTGAAAAGCTGCAGGTTATGAAAGTAGAAAGTTGTGCATTATGTGTGTCTAAGTGTACATGGACTGTGCTTGCCTGTGCTACCCCAATGATGTCATCCTGCTTACTCATAGTCTGAAGCTGGTATCTGTTAACTCTTCAATCTGTATATGGTAATCCAGTATATGTGGTTGGGTTTATTCTTGTCCAGAAATGAAGTAACTGTAGCGTGGGACAGTGGTGGTGTTAATTTTTTTAACCTCATGTTGATTCTTTGGAGGAAGATGAGAGTTCTGATTACTGTGTAAGCTTTAGAAATGGCATCTGTATGAGAGGTGAAACCATGGGAACCCATCACAGGTGTGGCAGTGGCAGCAGCTCTGAGGAACCAGAACGGCTGCCATCACTGGGCTGGGCAGGTCGGGCAAGTGCCTGCCACAGCCAGTGAGCGCAAGTGGTAGGCAGGAGCAGCCATTCACTGTAGTCAGATGAGGGCTGGAGATCTCAGTGGAGTGGGCTTTTCTTTATTTTTGTTTTGCAAGCCTCACTGTATCTTAATTCTCAAAAATTCTGTCCAAAACTATAGAATAACTGAGTTTCAGAATCATGAAAACTTAAGAGATGTCTATGTGTTTAAAACCAAGGAGGGGCTGCTGCGAACTATTTCCTGCCACTTCCATCCACCAGAGTGTATGAAACGGTGTCTGCAAATAATGTGGAGCAGAGACGCGAGTAGCTGGTCATGTGAAATACTCAAATGGGACAGGCGATGGGCAACTTTAGCAAAGTTGTTTCTTTTTTGAGTAGTTTATTACATGATGTGTTCCCATCAGGGTCAAACTCAGATCTGGAGTTTCAGTTCATAATCCATCTCTTCAGAATGTGATTGCTGGACTCCCCAGGACTTGCTTGTCTTTTCATTTGATTTTTATTATTCTTGTCTCCTTGAGACAGAGTATCCCTGTAGCCCCAGCTGCCCTGGAACTCTGTGTGTAGACAAGGCTGGCCTCCAACTCTGAGTCTGCCTGCCTCTGCCACCCAAGTGCTGGGATCAAAGGCGTGTGCCACCATGCTGACCTTCATTTGATTTTTAAATACAACACTCATCTTTCAGTATTTACCACAAAGTCAAGGTCCTGCCAGTCACATGTCATGTCCTAATGAGATAAGAAATCTTGCAAGTTGCCTTTGAGTCATACAGCTTAGAAAACTTGTGGGGTTTGTACTTCTCATGAGGTTACAAGAGCACTGCAAACTAGACTTGAATTATTTTTTACAAGACAGTTGCATCTAACCATCCCCCTACTCTTCTAAGTTGCTGTAGACAGGACAAGAAGCGATCAAATGGAAATTTCCTTCACGTAGAATCACCTAGACTTGGTCTCTACTTATTTATAAATAAACAAAAGTGGACTACGGAATAGGTGTGGACATCTTTGCAGTGAATTAGCAAATACTGAAGTTGGAAATTTGTATATACTGAATCTTAGCAACTTTTACCTTGGTTTAGGGGACAGGGATCTTGGGAGAAGGGGATTATAGAGTAACAGAGGGGGTGATAAATGTTCACCACAGGTACGATGTAGTCACCTTAATATTGAGACCTCTGCCTCGTTGAATTCAGGTTTTTTTAAGTACTTGAAACTATCCTAAGATGCTCATTTTACAGTTTCTTAAAATCATGAAAAAGAAAGCATTGCCTGGTATATTGTTTAGAAAGC